AAAAAACACGAATCAGTACAGAGGGCATGTTTTAGTGTGTTTATTTTTCAGCAAATACAAACCACTAGAACCACTGAAATTACACCACGACAAAAACATAAAGTACAAAAGAACAAACTTGCTTCAGTACAAGTTTCAAACAGTTTCAGTGAATATTGTCAATAATCAATGCTATCAAGAAGTAAAAATCAGCATCAACCCTGTTTAGCTTCAGTGGGCGACCAGTCTTGAGCTGCAGGGTGATATGGCTGTTTACATTATGTCAGCATTCTTTAGAAAAATAGAACATTTACTTGAGCAAATAAGTGACATTCTGCAATATGACATTCAAGAACATATTTGGATTGAAATATTCAATTCTTACTGAATACCACTTAGGTGAAACTTAAGTTGCTTGGCAATTATTGTGCTACAATGTTTAAAGCAGTGTACATTTATAGAGTTTACACCAAACATATAACACATCAGAAATCAAAACAATCCGAGATTACTGTCTTTAACTGATTGCACTGACACTGGTAGGCAGCAATAAATAAAAACGACATGTTTTAATGATATTAGCTTTAGCACAATTGTTTTCAGCTGGGTTGTTCAATTGTCTTCTTCTGAATACATAGATAAATCAGTTCTTAAAGCTGTCGGTTGAGAAAGATGCTTTTTGTCACACAGATGGTGTAGTTGCGATTATCTACCCACAGGGGCCGACTTGATCATGCTACATGTAAAACTCTCAACTATTCAGCAAATAGAGCAGGGGTGCCCAAACTCGGTCCTGGAGGGCCGGTGTCCTGCAGAGTTTAGCTCCAACTTGCCTCAACACACCTGCTGGGAAGTGTCTAGTACGCCTAGTAAGAGCTTGATTAGCTGGTTCAGGTGTGTCTAATTGGGGTTAGAGCTTAACTCTGCAGGACACCGGCCCTCCAAGACCGAGTTTGGGCACCCCTCAATGATTACATGTATATCTAAAAATACCTATATATCTAATAATAAAAGTAATTGTATGATGAAATACACTCATTTGTAGTAAACAATAACTTTATACTCTGGCCTGTAATAAGATGAGCTGTATAATAACACAGTCTGAATGATCATCATCTGAAAGCCACCTCTGAATACTCTGTCTGATTCTGTCCATTAGTCTCCTGTAAGAAAAGACACACGCATCAGGAAGAGAAAAATAGTGCTGTTACTACATATGCGTACAGCACAAAGATTTAGAAAAACAAAGTAGCACAAAACAATAAATTCCATACACAGAGAAAAGGAATAACGTGAGAAGACCAAATCCCACAAAAAAGGGAATGAAAAGCTTCTAGATCATGTAAGTACATGCACAGAGACGCAGAAGAACTGAAGCCAAAATTCATAGCCAAAGCACATTAAATTAACAGCAGATCATGAGGGTGATCATTCGAGATCTTGAATCCTTTAAACAAGATAAAATACATTTTATTTTTTTAGGGCTGATTTCATTCCTCAGGCCACAAAAAAAACAAAACAAGAATCAGCACAATAAGAAAAAGCCTAGTTTTTAAATGATTCATGCTGCAACTTCATTTGTATATACGTACACAGAATAACAAACATATCTTACCGCATCCTGAGCTCTGTTAGTAGTAAATATTGCATCAGTATAATCCAACTCTTCCACAGTAGTACGAGCTGTTTAGTAAAATTAAATTTACAACATAAAAAAACACTATATACTGCATAAAATGATTATTTTTCTATTGATTATATAGGTAATACTTGCTTTCTTGTAATGCTTCTTTGTGGCTCCTGCGGCGACAGAATATCCACACAGCTAAAACTGAGATCGCTAGCAGCAGAAGCAGAAACACAGCAGCAATTATACCTTTGAAAGGCACATGTGAACCATCTGCGATGAATAAGCCAAAATCAGTCATTACTGTAAATTAATCTCACCAGACTTCAATCAAGATAAAATAACAGCAGATCTAATTGGTGTAAATATGATACAAAAATGCAGCTAAAAGTTAAGTCGATTATTGATTAATCTGTCAATTATTTACTTAATTGGATAAATTTTTTCATTTTATTTACTGTATAAAAACATTTTTAATTGACATTTTATCATGTTTTTATCATTAGATATGGTATAATATAGATTATAACAGTAAAGTGTAGTTTATGTGCTAAGATACAGCACAGGCACAAATATGTGACAATGTGAGTTATTTTATGAATCATCTAGAGATAAACCGGCACAACAGTATTAACAGACATAGTTTGGTGAAAAACCTCCAGTGCTGACATACCTGAACATGGCTGACAACGATCAGTGATGTTGAGGTGTTTAGTCTGGTTGGTGAATGAATAAGCAACAACACAGCTGTAGGAATCATCCAGACACTCAATCTCCAGAGGTAGAGAGAGACTGATGCTGAGATCAGACACACTGATGCTGGACAATAAACTGTTTCCTTTGTACCAGGAGAGAGTCACATCACTCACATTCAACACTGAACACAGCAGTGAACAATTCTGACTTGATGATCTTTCTGATACTGAAGGGTTTTCGGGAGAATCACTGATGACTGGAACAGTCAGAAGACCTAAGAAACATGAAGAAAAGATAAATATTGAAAAAAAAAATCAATTATTGAAAGAGATGTGTGTAAAAATACTCAAATACTCAATCTCCAGATGGCCCAGATTCATCTTTTTAAGATTTATTTTTGCCATTATTATAAGAGGAGAGTGGAGAGCAGACAGGAACGAAGCAGGAGTGAGAGGGGGAGGGATCAGGAAAAGTCCTCGAGCTGGGATTCAAACTCGGGACACCCATAGTACAACAGCATTATATGTCAGCGCACTTGTCCACAAGGCTATCGGCACTGACCAGATTAAGATTTGATCAAGAATCCCTTTCAATATGATTTATTCAGTTTACTCACCATAGACAGCGATACTGAAGCTCTTGTGTTTCACCCCTCCATTCATGATCTGTAGTTTATAAAGTCCAGAGTGTAATTTGTTGATGTTTGTGATGGTCAGAGATCCTGTCTGTTCATCTATCTTTAGTCTGTCTCTGAATATTTTATTATATTCTTTACTGTCATATATAGAGAGGATCTGATTATAGATTATAGCTAGACGATTCTCTGAATTTTTAAGCTTAAATGTCCAGATTATCTGATCATCTCTGTGTATTTCGGTAACATTAGTGTGTAGAGTAACGGAATCTCCCTCCATCACTGATATTATCTCCGTTTCATCTGTATCAGCAGACACACCTAAAATAAAACAGACAACAACAACAACAAATCACAGATTCTCATCTAAGCTTTCAAAATTTATTTGGAAAAAAGACTAAATAAATCACCACTATAATTTTTTTAACCTAAGCATTTTAAGTAAATCAAAGCTAAAAATACAGCGAAAGCGTCAAACTTCATTCTGCCATTAGAACATACTTGCATATTTTGATGTAGAAATATCGGGGTAAGATTCTCCCTGGGGCAAGATGTTTTTGTTTTTTTTCCTTTGGACAATAAAATTAGACTCTTGGGGTAAGACGGGCCCCTCAGAATTGACACAGAAGCCCCATAGAATGTGGGATGTTGTTACTAGTGTTATTATTTTTAAATTAGGTATTTATTGTAATAAATGGGGTTATTATTCAATATTTTCTCTCAATATTAACTCTTTTATAAAAAAATATTATTATGATTATGAAAATAGAAAATGTAAAGTACTCATGGAGTAAATGGTAAATACTGTTAAAATATATAAGTAAAAAAGTAAATATAGGACATTTGCATATACTGTATATAAGATTGAATTTTTTTTAGTGTTTCTGATTTACTATTGAATTTTAATTATATTTACTCAATTTTATTTCTGATATTAGTTAATCTAATTATTTGAATCTACTTAATTTTTTTAGTGTGTTTGGTTTATAATTACTATTGCATTGCTTAAGGATTTTAATTATAATTACTGGTCCCACTTTATATTAAGTGTCCCTAATACCTGTGTACCTGTATGTAACCACAGTGTAAGTACACATTGGTAAATAGTATCTACAGCTGTAATATTTCTGTAGCTACACACATGTAACAACCCTCAGGATGGTTTGTGTAAGTACAAATGTGTAACAGGACATTGGTAACAACACTTTTTTTCACTTCTCTAAGTACACGTGTAACAGGAATTATATAACTACATTTTGTAACAACAATATGGATAAGAGTAATTGGAACCGTTTGATCCAGCGGGTGGAGATGGGTAGGTTTAGGGATATGTAAAGTGGGAGGAGTTGGATCTCAAGTTGGTGGAGTTGGTGCACCA